CATTTATAATTTTGTTTTGAGGAGTGATATTTATAATTGAACTTGAGACACGTATTCCGTTCTGGGTCAAATTGACCCGCTAATTAAAAACCAAGACAAATGAGTCATGAAGATTTACATTGAAAATAAAATTTACTGTCTAAATGAGCAGGAACGTCTGAACGCCACAAACCTTCATCCACTGTGACATTAGGGCCCAAAGCAGTGGAAGTTGCTCAGCCCACTTGTTTGTCCCAGATACCTGCCAGTTTATCTGTGCCACARTGTCCCAATATCTGCCAGCGTGTGTGTWTGTGTTTGAGGTGAAATATGTCTCACAGTTGCAAACAAACAAACAGTTTTGGACCCTTTTTACCCTTCATTTTGACTGCCGGGTCAAACTGACCCGAACACTATGTAATATGTAGACGCAGGGGCGGCTGCAAAAATGTAAAACGAACCATTTTCATTTTATATGTAAAATTATACATATTAAGATAAATAGAAAAAGTTTCATGCAGAAAAAAATACTTTATTTTTTAAAAATTAAACTTTAAAATGGGTCAATTTGACCCGCAACAWACAAAGTGTTAAGACTCACTTCCTAACGCCCAGGAGAAAAGGCTCGGCCTCGTTACTCACCATATCTGTAGTCGGATCTTCTTCCCTCTTAACTCAACCGTCTTGATTTTGAAGTCYACTCCTACGAAAGGAATCACAACAGACCTGTGAATACAGGTGATACCATCATGTGCTGTGTGTTGTTACGACTTTGAGCGTTTTGTTTTTTTATTTCGCTGGCTGCTTGGATTTATAACCAAATGTTAGGTGGAAATGCTAAATTATAGGAGTCAATTTTAACGTATTTCATTTGAAATATTTTACTAATTTAGCACTTTTAGACAGGCCTGAGTTGTTGTCAAATGACTTTGAAGGAAAGATACCATCAGTGTGACACATGGCTGTGTCACAGGGGTGACGGGACACAAAATGGAGCTCCAGGAAAGCAGCTGCTTGTGTGTGTGTGTGTGTGTGTTTTGCTATTGTTGTGCGGACACCTTCAGACATTAGATCACCCTTGTGTGAACATTTTGACTGCTAATTTGGGATTATAGTTAGGTTGAGGGTGCGAATTATGTTTAGGTTAGATTTAGGGTTAAGGGTCAGGCTGTAGAAGTCAATGCAAGTCCACACAAAGATAGTAAAACCCTGTGTGTGTATGTGTGTTAGTGTGTGTTAGTGTGTGTGTGTGTCTATTTCAGGACTGGACACTACAGCTGGCTGCTGTCCTGGTCACAAGATTGTTTACAAACTCAGAGTTGCTTACTTTCAGAATGTACAAACACACAGCAAGCTAAAATTTATGGGTTTTTTTTTTTTTTACAAAATATAAAAAAGTACAAGAATTAGTTTCATTTAGTTTATAAACATTAAAATGGTCCTTACTTGGACAACACTAATCATTCAGTTAAATTATTAAGTGTCATTGAGAAGGCCAGAGACCCATAAATTCTTTTTAAAATAATCTTTATTTTATCTTTTAAATAATCTTATCAGGAATCCCAACAGTTTAAAAGCAATAATAAACTATTGCCACGCATTACCCCCAGCCATTTCAATACGAAAAAGATGGTATTTATTATTTCTATTTAAAACACCGTGACTAGTTGTTAGACTGACCAAACTGTGACTAATYTGAATATCATGTTTATAATTAAACTTTTAAAAAGTTTAATTATAAACAGAGACAACTATAAAACAGATGTGTCCATCTCAGTCAAACCGTTTCATCCAGGGAATAGACGGACCCAAGTAGWTTTAATAAATATTAATTCTTGTCCTCACCTACTGTCGACTTGCATGCTTCGCAGAAAGTGTCGTCGGTGAATCTCTCCATGAGGCTGGTTTTACCAACTCCACGGGAGCCAATAATTATAATCTGGAGCTTGAAATCAGCGGGTCTGGGGGGCATCTTCCTGCGGCGGGATTGAGCTCCCATAGCCGGGGACGAGTTCGAAGAGCCCCCGCCGCTACCGGCTGTGGCCCTCCGCGGTATGTCATATCGCGGATCCATCAGTAACTCCACATCTGTCAGTACAAAAACAACATATAAACGCAACTAACCCGATATAAAACCAAACGGAATGAGCCACTATTAACTTGTTTTTGTGTTTGAAGAAGTTTGAGAAAGTTTGCTACTCTCCGTTAGTTGTTGTTCAGCCATTAGAGACCCCGAGCGTCACTACGTCACTTCCGTTTCCGATCTCCTTTTCTTATTTCATCTAAAAAGTCAATAAATTCCCCCCAAATTGTATTATTTTTTAACCGAAGCCATATTTGTGCGTTTTCATTTAAGCACATAGACTTTAAAAATATCTGAACGATAATTTCATAATTAAAAGCGCTAAAATCTTAAGTTTGTCCTCCGCGGCTTCCGTAGTCTGCGACATCCGCGAGGAGGAGTTCCTGTTAATCCAAACATCGACGAAATAACAATCACGGTCACTTATCGGTAATAAATTCCTCACAATTAATCGTCAGCATGGCTGCTCAGAAGATAAACGAAGCCCACGAACACATAGCTAAAGCGGAAAAATGGTGAGAAACGACAGAAATAACGAGTTTTTATTACGGATGAGACGACTAGCTAAGACCACTGACTGGCATATTTTCCTTAAAGATGATGAATAAACAGAAATCAGTTAATGTATTTATTTGTTTTAAGTGTTTTCTGTTCATGTTGATGATTCTGGTTTGTAACCCCCTTCTTTAATATATTTTTTACAGCCTAAAGACAAGTCTGACAAAGTGGAAACCTGATTTCGACAGTGCTGCATCAGAATACGCCAAAGCAGGTACCTSAGGTCCTCACAGGTGTTTAACGCCGAGATGTTTCTCTGATAACTGAGGTTCTCTCTGTCTGCAGCTGTGTGCTTCAAGAATGCGAAGCAGTACGAGCAGGCGAAGGATGCTTACCTGAAGGAGGCCGAGTACCACACAGAGAACAAAGCGTATCCTGCCCGGGCTTCATCAAACCACCCTGAGCTTCTTTAGGTTTAGATTTCCAGGAGCCTTGTCACCTCACAGTGCTTCTCCATCAGTAGGAGATGTAACCGTGATCCGAATCTGTCGAACGGTTCCATAAAAGGAGCGCTGAGATCAGTTCTTGATTATTTTCTTCCCTCCTCGTGTTTCCTGCAGCTGAGATGAGGATAAACAGGCGAAGTGGAGAAGTGCGGCACTTACTGATAGAGGTGAACGTGCCCTCGGTGTTACAGCGGCGAGGGCTGATGTGACTCGGGGCTGTCACTCGTTATTCACTGAGCTCTACCTGGTACTTCCTGCATAGAAACTAGGGCTGTGTATTGGCAAGAATTTGGCGATACGATACATATCATAACAGAGGGGTCACGATACGATATATCCCGATATATTGCGATAT